AAAAAAAAAAAAAAAAAAAAAGCTGCAGTGAGCTATGATCATACCCCTGCACTCCATCCTGGGCTACAGAGTGAAACTTGTCTCTAACAAAAAACAAAAAGGAGGATACAGAGGCAAATATTGTGAAGGAGAGGAGAGAAAGTGTAGTAAGGGAGCTCATGTTGGATGATGGCATTTCTTTTTTTTGGGGGGGTGGGTAGGAGGAGATAGGATTTCACTCTAATGTCCAGGCTGGAGTGCAATGGTGTGCAAGGCTCACCACAGCCTCAAACTTCTATGCTCAAGTGATCCTCTTGCTTCAGGCTCCTGAATACCTGGGACTACAGATGAATGCCACCATACCCAGCTAATATTTTTTAAAATAATTTTTTTGTACAGGTAAGGTCTCCATATGTTGCCCAGGCTGATCTCAAACTTCTGGCCTCAGCCTCTTGGGTGAAGTGCTCAATACAACTTGGACTTTGCCTAACAAATGCAAACAAACCTAATCATTCGGCATATTAGTCTAAAATTTAAAAAACAGAAAATCTAATGAAAAGAAATGCATATAGGTACAGTGTCTGCTGAGACTGTGAGAGATAATTACAAACAATAAACAGAGAAAGCACCAAGTTAAAGAACTTTGAGGGGTCAGTTGTGGTGGCTCATGCCTATAGGCCTTCCAAGTAGCTGGGGCTACAGGTGCCTGCCACAATGTCTGGCTATTTTTTGGTTGTAGTTGTCACTGCTGTTTGGCAGGCTCAGGCTGCTTTGAACCTGCCAGCTCTGGTGTATGTGGCTGGTACCTTAGCCGCTTGAGCTATAGGCACCACGCCAGGATTGGTGATCTTATAAAAGAGGCCCTGAGGGTAGCTTGTTTAGCCTTCCTGCCATGTGAAGACACACAGAAGGCTTCATCTATGAGAACTGGCCCTTACCAGACACGAATTCTGCTAGTGCCTCGTTCTTGAACTTTCCAGCCACCCGACATATCTGTAAGTAATAACTTTCTTTCTTTCTTTTCTTTCTTTCTCTCTCTCTCTCTTTTTTTTTTTTTTTTTTTTTTTTTTTTTTTTTTGAGACAGAATCTCAACCTGTTGCCCTGGGTAGAGCACCCTGGCATCATAGCTCACAGCAACCTCCAACTCTTGGGCTCA